CCTGATCAAGATAATCAAATTGAATATGAATCACCTGATCACTATCTTACTGATGATAAGAGTTTTTCGATTCATAATGCAAAACGTTTATTAGTAAATACAGAAGAATATGATCAGAAATATCCACTTTATTCAGCTGAACAATCTCTTATTCACCTAACTGAATTACAAGAAATTCTACAACAACAAATTATTAGAAAACAAGATACTTTTGTTGAACAAATTGAACAGGATAATTATTCATTCAATCAAGAAATTGATAGATTATTAGATGACAAACCTGAAATCACAGAATTGAACTTGACAGAAAAGCTACAGTCTGCGTTACATGTTATATATGAAGAATTATCTTTGTGTCAGCATTTAGTAGATAAACTTTTGAGTGAAAAAACAAAACACTGCAAACTTATAGCTATGCAAGCATCACAAATAGAAGATTTGAACAAGGAATTAAGAGATTATGACTATAAATTAAAAGCTATTTCAACAGGACATAACATTGACCCATATAATAACGACGAGACGTATGAAAATAATTGCTACGAGAGAAATGATGAAAAGGTAAAAAGTGAATGTTATATATATCATCATAATCAATATCCTAATTCACTTATTGATTCATCTACAAATCCAAATAAAAACATAATAAATGAACTAAAATTAACTAATCAGACAGAGATTGAACAACAAACTATAATGTCCAAAGAAGAGAAAGAATATCGAACAATAGCCAAAATTGAAGAAACAAAATCCACATTAGATAAAGACACACTAACAACTTCAGAATTTACCGTGGAGATGACGAGAGAGAAGCTAGTGAGTTCAAGTTTGTGTGAAGATGAGTCGAATGTGGTTGGTCAACTGCGCGAAGAGTTGACGTCTTGTTATGAACAGATAGTGAAGCTGTCTAGATCGGTGGAGGAGAGTGATGCTTCGTTGATGGATGTCCGGCGTTTGTTGACTGTGAAGGAGAGTGAAGTGGCGGATCTGAGAGAGGAGAAGCGTCATTTACGAGACGAAGTGAATGAGTTGAGGGAGACTGTAGAGGCAGAACGACGTGATTTGGACATGATGCGTGCAAATATGGATGTGTTGGAGAGCAAGGAAGAGGTGTCGGCGATGAGCGTGGAGTGTCGTGGACCGAAGGTTGCTGCTGCTGCTGCTGCTGCTGCTGCTGCTGTGGAGGAGGAGTGTGTGCAGACGGAGATTGACGACGAAGTTTTTGACCTGGTGTCGACGTTGCAGCTCGAGGTTGCCCATCTGCGTGAGGAAAATGCGGCGACGTTGGCGGCTCTGGAGCGTTCACAGCTCGAGTTGAGCATGAAACAGACCGAAGTGCAGGAACCGGAGTCACGTATGATGGTGAACGAGACAACTTGTTGGATTCCTTGTGAGACTGTGAGAAAGGCGCCCGATGTGGTTGTCCGTGAGTTGGCAGAGGTTGATGACACAGACAGAGTGGAGGCAGACGTGTTTGCCGGAGTTCCTGACATGCAGCTGGTGGAGACTGTTGCAAGCGACTCAGTGTCAGGCATTGTGCCTGATCGAATGGACAGACAAACTACGGACTTGTGTGTTGAGGGCGTTTCGAACGAGGAAGTGGTCTTGCCCATTCACGCCACTCAGAGTTGGACGAAACCGCCGAGTGAACAAGGCAATGACGATCCCGAACTTGCCCTGTTGAATACAGACAGCCTAAGAACGCGATTGAAGGAGGCCATGAGCAGAATCTGCGAACTTGAGAATGCCAAGACAGAGTTGAGTGTGCGTCTGCGTGAGCTGGAAGGCGTTATGATGTGTGAAGATAAGCCGATGGATGTGATGCCTCTTAGTTCTCGTGTGCCTGACCGGTCGATGAAAGTGACGGACGAAGCTGATGCACTGTCGAAGCACAACAAAGAGCTGATGACAGAGGTAGACTTGTTACGAAGTAAGATTTCAGAGCGCGTGACACTGTTGGACGATGTGTGCATGGAGATGGATGAGGTCAGAGGATCATTGGGTTTCTTGTTGAAGCAGGTGAGAGAATTGCGTGCAGCACATGCTGAGGCGAATGCTGACCGCGCCGAAATGGCGAACAGAATGAGTGAGTACGAACGGGTTTCACATCGCCTGTGCGAAACAGTTGGTCGATCCACGTCACCAGTGCAAGACATCGACTATGCACACGAAGGCTCGTCGACTGACCGTTGCACATCAGACGGGTTGCGAGAGGATTTGCAGCGTGCACTGGATACACAATCGTTCGAGCTGGAGGCAGTCACTGAGAAACTGAAAGAATGTGAGTCAATGAACAATGCCCTGATCTGTGAGAATGATTTCCCAAAGAAACGTTTGAGCTTTAATCTGCCTCCACCTGTTAGACATTTCAATTCTCGTTTAGAAGTCAATGGTATGTTGGTTGAAACTTCTGGTAATCTTTCTAATTTTAGAGAAAGTGATCGTAATTATTCAAATGGTAAGCTGCTCTCTGAAATCCAAGCGACTTGCGAAAGTGATCTTCTTAATTCAGATCAATTTCTTGTAGCCAGTGACAGTGAGGTAGGCAATAAACTCAATGATATCGTCGTTCATGGAAATAAGTCATACATATCGTCGATAGTTTTAGATGCTTCGTGTTTCAAGGTGTTAAGTCCATCCGATGTCGACCCGATGATGGTTGATTCTAATGCAAATGAATCTAAGTTTACATTTGCCACAAATTCATCTTCAAAAAGGGATAAGTCACATCAACAAAACCGGAATGATGCCAGTGAATCACATGCTTGTCACTGTGAAGAAGTTACCATCGTTTCGCATGATGACTTCTCACAAGATAAAATTTCGCACGTTTGGAGAATGCCTCCGGATATTAAAGACGAAAAAATGTTCATCAGTTCTTTGATATTACCACCTCCTAGACAACCCTGCAGTATGACATACGCTGGATCAGCATCAGATATTCCCGTAATGTCGCGCAGTTTATCAAGTAAAGAACTAGAAACCGTTGAACCATATAGTATAAAATCAGAAAGGCTTGTGAAAGACTGCGTAAACAACACAGACAAGCATGTGGAATGGTCTTCGAACACAAAAGCATATAATGTTACAGGGTACTCAGAAGAAAAAACTATAACAATTAACGAAGAAACGAGAAATCATCTGGAAAAATTCGAAGGAGAAAACCTGAAAATCAAGAAAGAAGATGAAATCATAATTATAAGAAACCAAAACGATATTATTATAGAGTGCGATCAAAAATTAGAAAACGAATTTTCACAACAGCAATATCAACCGACCGATGCGTCAAAACGGGATAATGCCAATGAAAAAACTATAAAAAAATCAACAAAAAGTATAAATCCAGAATTGAGAATAATTTCAAAAGATAAGAACACACACACTGATGATGCCACAGAATCGCATAGTTTCTTGTTGAAGCAGGTGAGAGAATTGCGTGCAGCACATGCTGAGGCGAATGCTGACCGCGCCGAAATGGCGAACAGAATGAGTGAGTACGAACGGGTTTCACATCGCCTGTGCGAAACAGTTGGTCGATCCACGTCACCAGTGCAAGACATCGACTATGCACACGAAGGCTCGTCGACTGACCGTTGCACATCAGACGGGTTGCGAGAGGATTTGCAGCGTGCACTGGATACACAATCGTTCGAGCTGGAGGCAGTCACTGAGAAACTGAAAGAATGTGAGTCAATGAACAATGCCCTGATCTGTGAGTGTGAGTCGCTGAAGCGTCGTCTAGAGAGTTATATGACTGTGATTACTGACTTGGAGAATGATGTGACCAAGACGAAAGCACTGTTGGCGTTTGTGGTTGACCATATAAGAGGTCTGCGTTCCGACTATGGAGATTGGTGCAGAGAGCACGAACAACGAGTGCAGGAGTGTTTAGATGCCGTCACAACAGGGTTGTCCCATGGTGTGGTTGAACACGTGGACCGTGAGTGTGAGACAATGACATGGCCAGAACACTTGGAGTCTACTGTTATGCTTGATAGCTTTGTGCGACTACAAGAGTCTCATGAAGTGACGTCGATGCAGAGAGGACAAGATTGGGATTCGGAAAGTGAGATGAGCAGACTGTGCGACCGGAACCGTGAGCTGTCTGAGGAGCTCTGCAAGTGTCGAGACCTGTGTGATAAGCAGGCATCTGAGATGGTGTTGATGCAAACAGCTCTTCGTCAGGCAGTCGAACAGGCGTCAACTGCCCGAGAGGAACTGGAGGCCTATAGACACGAGAAGGTTTGCGCAATGTCAGATCTGGAGAGTCAACTGTCTGCTTCTCGTGACGAGTGTTCTGCACTACGGGATCAAGTGTGTCGGCTTGAGACATCGATGGAAGAGCATTGCAACACAGTGTTGGCGATAGCCAGTCGAGACTGGGAGTCGCGCGTAAACGAAATTGTGAGAGAACGCGACACAGCCATGAAAGAGTTGTTGGAACTGCGTAGTAGGTTGGATATGGCAGACGATGTGGACGCCAGGTTGGCAAAAACAGTGTGCAGAAGTGACATGGGAACTGACGTGCTAGATCGTATGATTGAACGTGATATAGCTTTGTCATCAGGGTTCACTAGTGATACGAGAGAGACTGTGAGCGTGGGCGTTGGTAAAGATGCAGAGGACGACGAGTCGAATTGCATGGTTGTTGACGGTTGGAGCGACTACTCCTCAGAATGCATACACGACGAGCACAAGCCTAGTGTGTCGGTTGGTTCTCCGACTAGACTTGTGAGTGTGGCGACTCAAGCGACAGACAGCGTGTCTTGGTTGGCTACTGACACATTGTCAACTTCAGGATTTACCGATCAGTCGACCGTAGATCAGTCGACCAGGAGTCCAGTGGAGATGACGAGAGAGAAGCTAGTGAGTTCAAGTTTGTGTGAAGATGAGTCGAATGTGGTTGGTCAACTGCGCGAAGAGTTGACGTCTTGTTATGAACAGATAGTGAAGCTGTCTAGATCGGTGGAGGAGAGTGATGCTTCGTTGATGGATGTCCGGCGTTTGTTGACTGTGAAGGAGAGTGAAGTGGCGGATCTGAGAGAGGAGAAGCGTCATTTACGAGACGAAGTGAATGAGTTGAGGGAGACTGTAGAGGCAGAACGACGTGATTTGGACATGATGCGTGCAAATATGGATGTGTTGGAGAGCAAGGAAGAGGTGTCGGCGATGAGCGTGGAGTGTCGTGGACCGAAGGTTGCTGCTGCTGCTGCTGCTGCTGCTGCTGCTGTGGAGGAGGAGTGTGTGCAGACGGAGATTGACGACGAAGTTTTTGACCTGGTGTCGACGTTGCAGCTCGAGGTTGCCCATCTGCGTGAGGAAAATGCGGCGACGTTGGCGGCTCTGGAGCGTTCACAGCTCGAGTTGAGCATGAAACAGACCGAAGTGCAGGAACCGGAGTCACGTATGATGGTGAACGAGACAACTTGTTGGATTCCTTGTGAGACTGTGAGAAAGGCGCCCGATGTGGTTGTCCGTGAGTTGGCAGAGGTTGATGACACAGACAGAGTGGAGGCAGACGTGTTTGCCGGAGTTCCTGACATGCAGCTGGTGGAGACCGTTGCAAGCGACTCAGTGTCAGGCATTGTGCCTGATCGAATGGACAGACAAACTACGGACTTGTGTGTTGAGGGCGTTTCGAACGAGGAAGTGGTCTTGCCCATTCACGCCACTCAGAGTTGGACGAAACCGCCGAGTGAACAAGACAATGACGATCCCGAACTTGCCCTGTTGAATACAGACAGCCTAAGAACGCGATTGAAGGAGGCCATGAGCAGAATCTGCGAACTTGAGAATGCCAAGACAGAGTTGAGTGTGCGTCTGCGTGAGCTGGAAGGCGTTATGATGTGTGAAGATAAGCCGATGGATGTGATGCCTCTTAGTTCTCGTGTGCCTGACCGGTCGATGAAAGTGACGGACGAAGCTGATGCACTGTCGAAGCACAACAAAGAGCTGATGACAGAGGTAGACTTGTTACGAAGTAAGATTTCAGAGCGCGTGACACTGTTGGACGATGTGTGCATGGAGATGGATGAGGTCAGAGGATCACTGGGTTTCTTGTTGAAGCAGGTGAGAGAATTGCGTGCAGCACATGCTGAGGCGAATGCTGACCGCGCCGAAATGGCGAACAGAATGAGTGAGTACGAACGGGTTTCACATCGCCTGTGCGAAACAGTTGGTCGATCCACGTCACCAGTGCAAGACATCGACTATGCACACGAAGGCTCGTCGACTGACCGTTGCACATCAGACGGGTTGCGAGAGGATTTGCAGCGTGCACTGGATACACAATCGTTCGAGCTGGAGGCAGTCACTGAGAAACTGAAAGAATGTGAGTCAATGAACAATGCCCTGATCTGTGAGTGTGAGTCGCTGAAGCGTCGTCTAGAGAGTTATATGACTGTGATTACTGACTTGGAGAATGATGTGACCAAGACGAAAGCACTGTTGGCGTTTGTGGTTGACCATATAAGAGGTCTGCGTTCCGACTATGGAGATTGGTGCAGAGAGCACGAACAACGAGTGCAGGAGTGTTTAGATGCCGTCACAACAGGGTTGTCCCATGGTGTGGTTGAACACGTGGACCGTGAGTGTGAGACAATGACATGGCCAGAACACTTGGAGTCTACTGTTATGCTTGATAGCTTTGTGCGACTACAAGAGTCTCATGAAGTGACGTCGATGCAGAGAGGACAAGATTGGGATTCGGAAAGTGAGATGAGCAGACTGTGCGACCGGAACCGTGAGCTGTCTGAGGAGCTCTGCAAGTGTCGAGACCTGTGTGATAAGCAGGCATCTGAGATGGTGTTGATGCAAACAGCTCTTCGTCAGGCAGTCGAACAGGCGTCAACTGCCCGAGAGGAACTGGAGGCCTATAGACACGAGAAGGTTTGCGCAATGTCAGATCTGGAGAGTCAACTGTCTGCTTCTCGTGACGAGTGTTCTGCACTACGGGATCAAGTGTGTCGGCTTGAGACATCGATGGAAGAGCATTGCAACACAGTGTTGGCGATAGCCAGTCGAGACTGGGAGTCGCGCGTAAACGAAATTGTGAGAGAACGCGACACAGCCATGAAAGAGTTGTTGGAACTGCGTAGTAGGTTGGATATGGCAGACGATGTGGACGCCAGGTTGGCAAAAACAGTGTGCAGAAGTGACATGGGAACTGACGTGCTAGATCGTATGATTGAACGTGATATAGCTTTGTCATCAGGGTTCACTAGTGATACGAGAGAGACTGTGAGCGTGGGCGTTGGTAAAGATGCAGAGGACGACGAGTCGAATTGCATGGTTGTTGACGGTTGGAGCGACTACTCCTCAGAATGCATACACGACGAGCACAAGCCTAGTGTGTCGGTTGGTTCTCCGACTAGACTTGTGAGTGTGGCGACTCAAGCGACAGACAGCGTGTCTTGGTTGGCTACTGACACATTGTCAACTTCAGGATTTACCGATCAGTCGACCGTAGATCAGTCGACCAGGAGTCCAGTGGAGATGACGAGAGAGAAGCTAGTGAGTTCAAGTTTGTGTGAAGATGAGTCGAATGTGGTTGGTCAACTGCGCGAAGAGTTGACGTCTTGTTATGAACAGATAGTGAAGCTGTCTAGATCGGTGGAGGAGAGTGATGCTTCGTTGATGGATGTCCGGCGTTTGTTGACTGTGAAGGAGAGTGAAGTGGCGGATCTGAGAGAGGAGAAGCGTCATTTACGAGACGAAGTGAATGAGTTGAGGGAGACTGTAGAGGCAGAACGACGTGATTTGGACATGATGCGTGCAAATATGGATGTGTTGGAGAGCAAGGAAGAGGTGTCGGCGATGAGCGTGGAGTGTCGTGGACCGAAGGTTGCTGCTGCTGCTGCTGCTGCTGCTGCTGTGGGGGAGGAGTGTGTGCAGACGGAGATTGACGACGAAGTTTTTGACCTGGTGTCGACGTTGCAGCTCGAGGTTGCCCATCTGCGTGAGGAAAATGCGGCGACGTTGGCGGCTCTGGAGCGTTCACAGCTCGAGTTGAGCATGAAACAGACCGAAGTGCAGGAACCGGAGTCACGTATGATGGTGAACGAGACAACTTGTTGGATTCCTTGTGAGACTGTGAGAAAGGCGCCCGATGTGGTTGTCCGTGAGTTGGCAGAGGTTGATGACACAGACAGAGTGGAGGCAGACGTGTTTGCCGGAGTTCCTGACATGCAGCTGGTGGAGACTGTTGCAAGCGACTCAGTGTCAGGCATTGTGCCTGATCGAATGGACAGACAAACTACGGACTTGTGTGTTGAGGGCGTTTCGAACGAGGAAGTGGTCTTGCCCATTCACGCCACTCAGAGTTGGACGAAACCGCCGAGTGAACAAGACAATGACGATCCCGAACTTGCCCTGTTGAATACAGACAGCCTAAGAACGCGATTGAAGGAGGCCATGAGCAGAATCTGCGAACTTGAGAATGCCAAGACAGAGTTGAGTGTGCGTCTGCGTGAGCTGGAAGGCGTTATGATGTGTGAAGATAAGCCGATGGATGTGATGCCTCTTAGTTCTCGTGTGCCTGACCGGTCGATGAAAGTGACGGACGAAGCTGATGCACTGTCGAAGCACAACAAAGAGCTGATGACAGAGGTAGACTTGTTACGAAGTAAGATTTCAGAGCGCGTGACACTGTTGGACGATGTGTGCATGGAGATGGATGAGGTCAGAGGATCACTGGGTTTCTTGTTGAAGCAGGTGAGAGAATTGCGTGCAGCACATGCTGAGGCGAATGCTGACCGCGCCGAAATGGCGAACAGAATGAGTGAGTACGAACGGGTTTCACATCGCCTGTGCGAAACAGTTGGTCGATCCACGTCACCAGTGCAAGACATCGACTATGCACACGAAGGCTCGTCGACTGACCGTTGCACATCAGACGGGTTGCGAGAGGATTTGCAGCGTGCACTGGATACACAATCGTTCGAGCTGGAGGCAGTCACTGAGAAACTGAAAGAATGTGAGTCAATGAACAATGCCCTGATCTGTGAGTGTGAGTCGCTGAAGCGTCGTCTAGAGAGTTATATGACTGTGATTACTGACTTGGAGAATGATGTGACCAAGACGAAAGCACTGTTGGCGTTTGTGGTTGACCATATAAGAGGTCTGCGTTCCGACTATGGAGATTGGTGCAGAGAGCACGAACAACGAGTGCAGGAGTGTTTAGATGCCGTCACAACAGGGTTGTCCCATGGTGTGGTTGAACACGTGGACCGTGAGTGTGAGACAATGACATGGCCAGAACACTTGGAGTCTACTGTTATGCTTGATAGCTTTGTGCGACTACAAGAGTCTCATGAAGTGACGTCGATGCAGAGAGGACAAGATTGGGATTCGGAAAGTGAGATGAGCAGACTGTGCGACCGGAACCGTGAGCTGTCTGAGGAGCTCTGCAAGTGTCGAGACCTGTGTGATAAGCAGGCATCTGAGATGGTGTTGATGCAAACAGCTCTTCGTCAGGCAGTCGAACAGGCGTCAACTGCCCGAGAGGAACTGGAGGCCTATAGACACGAGAAGGTTTGCGCAATGTCAGATCTGGAGAGTCAACTGTCTGCTTCTCGTGACGAGTGTTCTGCACTACGGGATCAAGTGTGTCGGCTTGAGACATCGATGGAAGAGCATTGCAACACAGTGTTGGCGATAGCCAGTCGAGACTGGGAGTCGCGCGTAAACGAAATTGTGAGAGAACGCGACACAGCCATGAAAGAGTTGTTGGAACTGCGTAGTAGGTTGGATATGGCAGACGATGTGGACGCCAGGTTGGCAAAAACAGTGTGCAGAAGTGACATGGGAACTGACGTGCTAGATCGTATGATTGAACGTGATATAGCTTTGTCATCAGGGTTCACTAGTGATACGAGAGAGACTGTGAGCGTGGGCGTTGGTAAAGATGCAGAGGACGACGAGTCGAATTGCATGGTTGTTGACGGTTGGAGCGACTACTCCTCAGAATGCATACACGACGAGCACAAGCCTAGTGTGTCGGTTGGTTCTCCGACTAGACTTGTGAGTGTGGCGACTCAAGCGACAGACAGCGTGTCTTGGTTGGCTACTGACACATTGTCAACTTCAGGATTTACCGATCAGTCGACCGTAGATCAGTCGACCAGGAGTCCAGTGGAGATGACGAGAGAGAAGCTAGTGAGTTCAAGTTTGTGTGAAGATGAGTCGAATGTGGTTGGTCAACTGCGCGAAGAGTTGACGTCTTGTTATGAACAGATAGTGAAGCTGTCTAGATCGGTGGAGGAGAGTGATGCTTCGTTGATGGATGTCCGGCGTTTGTTGACTGTGAAGGAGAGTGAAGTGGCGGATCTGAGAGAGGAGAAGCGTCATTTACGAGACGAAGTGAATGAGTTGAGGGAGACTGTAGAGGCAGAACGACGTGATTTGGACATGATGCGTGCAAATATGGATGTGTTGGAGAGCAAGGAAGAGGTGTCGGCGATGAGCGTGGAGTGTCGTGGACCGAAGGTTGCTGCTGCTGCTGCTGCTGCTGCTGTGGAGGAGGAGTGTGTGCAGACGGAGATTGACGACGAAGTTTTTGACCTGGTGTCGACGTTGCAGCTCGAGGTTGCCCATCTGCGTGAGGAAAATGCGGCGACGTTGGCGGCTCTGGAGCGTTCACAGCTCGAGTTGAGCATGAAACAGACCGAAGTGCAGGAACCGGAGTCACGTATGATGGTGAACGAGACAACTTGTTGGATTCCTTGTGAGACTGTGAGAAAGGCGCCCGATGTGGTTGTCCGTGAGTTGGCAGAGGTTGATGACACAGACAGAGTGGAGGCAGACGTGTTTGCCGGAGTTCCTGACATGCAGCTGGTGGAGACTGTTGCAAGCGACTCAGTGTCAGGCATTGTGCCTGATCGAATGGACAGACAAACTACGGACTTGTGTGTTGAGGGCGTTTCGAACGAGGAAGTGGTCTTGCCCATTCACGCCACTCAGAGTTGGACGAAACCGCCGAGTGAACAAGACAATGACGATCCCGAACTTGCCCTGTTGAATACAGACAGCCTAAGAACGCGATTGAAGGAGGCCATGAGCAGAATCTGCGAACTTGAGAATGCCAAGACAGAGTTGAGTGTGCGTCTGCGTGAGCTGGAAGGCGTTATGATGTGTGAAGATAAGCCGATGGATGTGATGCCTCTTAGTTCTCGTGTGCCTGACCGGTCGATGAAAGTGACGGACGAAGCTGATGCACTGTCGAAGCACAACAAAGAGCTGATGACAGAGGTAGACTTGTTACGAAGTAAGATTTCAGAGCGCGTGACACTGTTGGACGATGTGTGCATGGAGATGGATGAGGTCAGAGGATCACTGGGTTTCTTGTTGAAGCAGGTGAGAGAATTGCGTGCAGCACATGCTGAGGCGAATGCTGACCGCGCCGAAATGGCGAACAGAATGAGTGAGTACGAACGGGTTTCACATCGCCTGTGCGAAACAGTTGGTCGATCCACGTCACCAGTGCAAGACATCGACTATGCACACGAAGGCTCGTCGACTGACCGTTGCACATCAGACGGGTTGCGAGAGGATTTGCAGCGTGCACTGGATACACAATCGTTCGAGCTGGAGGCAGTCACTGAGAAACTGAAAGAATGTGAGTCAATGAACAATGCCCTGATCTGTGAGTGTGAGTCGCTGAAGCGTCGTCTAGAGAGTTATATGACTGTGATTACTGACTTGGAGAATGATGTGACCAAGACGAAAGCACTGTTGGCGTTTGTGGTTGACCATATAAGAGGTCTGCGTTCCGACTATGGAGATTGGTGCAGAGAGCACGAACAACGAGTGCAGGAGTGTTTAGATGCCGTCACAACAGGGTTGTCCCATGGTGTGGTTGAACACGTGGACCGTGAGTGTGAGACAATGACATGGCCAGAACACTTGGAGTCTACTGTTATGCTTGATAGCTTTGTGCGACTACAAGAGTCTCATGAAGTGACGTCGATGCAGAGAGGACAAGATTGGGATTCGGAAAGTGAGATGAGCAGACTGTGCGACCGGAACCGTGAGCTGTCTGAGGAGCTCTGCAAGTGTCGAGACCTGTGTGATAAGCAGGCATCTGAGATGGTGTTGATGCAAACAGCTCTTCGTCAGGCAGTCGAACAGGCGTCAACTGCCCGAGAGGAACTGGAGGCCTATAGACACGAGAAGGTTTGCGCAATGTCAGATCTGGAGAGTCAACTGTCTGCTTCTCGTGACGAGTGTTCTGCACTACGGGATCAAGTGTGTCGGCTTGAGACATCGATGGAAGAGCATTGCAACACAGTGTTGGCGATAGCCAGTCGAGACTGGGAGTCGCGCGTAAACGAAATTGTGAGAGAACGCGACACAGCCATGAAAGAGTTGTTGGAACTGCGTAGTAGGTTGGATATGGCAGACGATATGGACGCCAGGTTGGCAAAAACAGTGTGCAGAAGTGACATGGGAACTGACGTGCTAGATCGTATGATTGAACGTGATATAGCTTTGTCATCAGGGTTCACTAGTGATACGAGAGAGACTGTGAGCGTGGGCGTTGGTAAAGATGCAGAGGACGACGAGTCGAATTGCATGGTTGTTGACGGTTGGAGCGACTACTCCTCAGAATGCATACACGACGAGCACAAGCCTAGTGTGTCGGTTGGTTCTCCGACTAGACTTGTGAGTGTGGCGACTCAAGCGACAGACAGCGTGTCTTGGTTGGCTACTGACACATTGTCAACTTCAGGATTTACCGATCAGTCGACCGTAGATCAGTCGACCAGGAGTCCAGTGGAGATGACGAGAGAGAAGCTAGTGAGTTCAAGTTTGTGTGAAGATGAGTCGAATGTGGTTGGTCAACTGCGCGAAGAGTTGACGTCTTGTTATGAACAGATAGTGAAGCTGTCTAGATCGGTGGAGGAGAGTGATGCTTCGTTGATGGATGTCCGGCGTTTGTTGACTGTGAAGGAGAGTGAAGTGGCGGATCTGAGAGAGGAGAAGCGTCATTTACGAGACGAAGTGAATGAGTTGAGGGAGACTGTAGAGGCAGAACGACGTGATTTGGACATGATGCGTGCAAATATGGATGTGTTGGAGAGCAAGGAAGAGGTGTCGGCGATGAGCGTGGAGTGTCGTGGACCGAAGGTTGCTGCTGCTGCTGCTGCTGCTGCTGCTGTGGAGGAGGAGTGTGTGCAGACGGAGATTGACGACGAAGTTTTTGACCTGGTGTCGACGTTGCAGCTCGAGGTTGCCCATCTGCGTGAGGAAAATGCGGCGACGTTGGCGGCTCTGGAGCGTTCACAGCTCGAGTTGAGCATGAAACAGACCGAAGTGCAGGAACCGGAGTCACGTATGATGGTGAACGAGACAACTTGTTGGATTCCTTGTGAGACTGTGAGAAAGGCGCCCGATGTGGTTGTCCGTGAGTTGGCAGAGGTTGATGACACAGACAGAGTGGAGGCAGACGTGTTTGCCGGAGTTCCTGACATGCAGCTGGTGGAGACCGTTGCAAGCGACTCAGTGTCAGGCATTGTGCCTGATCGAATGGACAGACAAACTACGGACTTGTGTGTTGAGGGCGTTTCGAACGAGGAAGTGGTCTTGCCCATTCACGCCACTCAGAGTTGGACGAAACCGCCGAGTGAACAAGACAATGACGATCCCGAACTTGCCCTGTTGAATACAGACAGCCTAAGAACGCGATTGAAGGAGGCCATGAGCAGAATCTGCGAACTTGAGAATGCCAAGACAGAGTTGAGTGTGCGTCTGCGTGAGCTGGAAGGCGTTATGATGTGTGAAGATAAGCCGATGGATGTGATGCCTCTTAGTTCTCGTGTGCCTGACCGGTCGATGAAAGTGACGGACGAAGCTGATGCACTGTCGAAGCACAACAAAGAGCTGATGACAGAGGTAGACTTGTTACGAAGTAAGATTTCAGAGCGCGTGACACTGTTGGACGATGTGTGCATGGAGATGGATGAGGTCAGAGGATCACTGGGTTTCTTGTTGAAGCAGGTGAGAGAATTGCGTGCAGCACATGCTGAGGCGAATGCTGACCGCGCCGAAATGGCGAACAGAATGAGTGAGTACGAACGGGTTTCACATCGCCTGTGCGAAACAGTTGGTCGATCCACGTCACCAGTGCAAGACATCGACTATGCACACGAAGGCTCGTCGACTGACCGTTGCACATCAGACGGGTTGCGAGAGGATTTGCAGCGTGCACTGGATACACAATCGTTCGAGCTGGAGGCAGTCACTGAGAAACTGAAAGAATGTGAGTCAATGAACAATGCCCTGATCTGTGAGTGTGAGTCGCTGAAGCGTCGTCTAGAGAGTTATATGACTGTGATTACTGACTTGGAGAATGATGTGACCAAGACGAAAGCACTGTTGGCGTTTGTGGTTGACCATATAAGAGGTCTGCGTTCCGACTATGGAGATTGGTGCAGAGAGCACGAACAACGAGTGCAGGAGTGTTTAGATGCCGTCACAACAGGGTTGTCCCATGGTGTGGTTGAACACGTGGACCGTGAGTGTGAGACAATGACATGGCCAGAACACTTGGAGTCTACTGTTATGCTTGATAGCTTTGTGCGACTACAAGAGTCTCATGAAGTGACGTCGATGCAGAGAGGACAAGATTGGGATTCGGAAAGTGAGATGAGCAGACTGTGCGACCGGAACCGTGAGCTGTCTGAGGAGCTCTGCAAGTGTCGAGACCTGTGTGATAAGCAGGCATCTGAGATGGTGTTGATGCAAACAGCTCTTCGTCAGGCAGTCGAACAGGCGTCAACTGCCCGAGAGGAACTGGAGGCCTATAGACACGAGAAGGTTTGCGCAATGTCAGATCTGGAGAGTCAACTGTCTGCTTCTCGTGACGAGTGTTCTGCACTACGGGATCAAGTGTGTCGGCTTGAGACATCGATGGAAGAGCATTGCAACACAGTGTTGGCGATAGCCAGTCGAGACTGGGAGTCGCGCGTAAACGAAATTGTGAGAGAACGCGACACAGCCATGAAAGAGTTGTTGGAACTGCGTAGTAGGTTGGATATGGCAGACGATATGGACGCCAGGTTGGCAAAAACAGTGTGCAGAAGTGACATGGGAACTGACGTGCTAGATCGTATGATTGAACGTGATATAGCTTTGTCATCAGGGTTCACTAGTGATACGAGAGAGACTGTGAGCGTGGGCGTTGGTAAAGATGCAGAGGACGACGAGTCGAATTGCATGGTTGTTGACGGTTGGAGCGACTACTCCTCAGAATGCATACACGACGAGCACAAGCCTAGTGTGTCGGTTGGTTCTCCGACTAGACTTGTGAGTGTGGCGACTCAAGCGACAGACAGCGTGTCTTGGTTGGCTACTGACACATTGTCAACTTCAGGATTTACCGATCAGTCGACCGTAGATCAGTCGACCAGGAGTCCAGTGGAGATGACGAGAGAGAAGCTAGTGAGTTCAAGTTTGTGTGAAGATGAGTCGAATGTGGTTGGTCAACTGCGCGAAGAGTTGACGTCTTGTTATGAACAGATAGTGAAGCTGTCTAGATCGGTGGAGGAGAGTGATGCTTCGTTGATGGATGTCCGGCGTTTGTTGACTGTGAAGGAGAGTGAAGTGGCGGATCTGAGAGAGGAGAAGCGTCATTTACGAGACGAAGTGAATGAGTTGAGGGAGACTGTAGAGGCAGAACGACGTGATTTGGACATGATGCGTGCAAATATGGATGTGTTGGAGAGCAAGGAAGAGGTGTCGGCGATGAGCGTGGAGTGTCGTGGACCGAAGGTTGCTGCTGCTGCTGCTGCTGCTGCTGCTGTGGAGGAGGAGTGTGTGCAGACGGAGATTGACGACGAAGTTTTTGACCTGGTGTCGACGTTGCAGCTCGAGGTTGCCCATCTGCGTGAGGAAAATGCGGCGACGTTGGCGGCTCTGGAGCGTTCACAGCTCGAGTTGAGCATGAAACAGACCGAAGTGCAGGAACCGGAGTCACGTATGATGGTGAACGAGACAACTTGTTGGATTCCTTGTGAGACTGTGAGAAAGGCGCCCGATGTGGTTGTCCGTGAGTTGGCAGAGGTTGATGACACAGACAGAGTGGAGGCAGACGTGTTTGCCGGAGTTCCTGACATGCAGCTGGTGGAGACTGTTGCAAGCGACTCAGTGTCAGGCATTGTGCCTGATCGAATGAACAGACAAACTACGGACTTGTGTGTTGAGGGCGTTTCGAACGAGGAAGTGGTCTTGCCCATTCACGCCACTCAGAGTTGGACGAAACCGCCGAGTGAACAAGACAATGACGATCCCGAACTTGCCCTGTTGAATACAGACAGCCTAAGAACGCGATTGAAGGAGGCCATGAGCAGAATCTGCGAACTTGAGAATGCCAAGACAGAGTTGAGTGTGCGTCTGCGTGAGCTGGAAGGCGTTATGATGTGTGAAGATAAGCCGATGGATGTGATGCCTCTTAGTTCTCGTGTGCCTGACCGGTCGATGAAAGTGACGGACGAAGCTGATGCACTGTCGAAGCACAACAAAGAGCTGATGACAGAGGTAGACTTGTTACGAAGTAAGATTTCAGAGCGCGTGACACTGTTGGACGATGTGTGCATGGAGATGGATGAGGTCAGAGGATCACTGGGTTTCTTGTTGAAGCAGGTGAGAGAATTGCGTGCAGCACATGCTGAGGCGAATGCTGACCGCGCCGAAATGGCGAACAGAATGAGTGAGTACGAACGGGTTTCACATCGCCTGTGCGAAACAGTTGGTCGATCCACGTCACCAGTGCAAGACATCGACTATGCACACGAAGGCTCGTCGACTGACCGTTGCACATCAGACGGGTTGCGAGAGGATTTGCAGCGTGCACTGGATACACAATCGTTCGAGCTGGAGGCAGTCACTGAGAAACTGAAAGAATGTGAGTCAATGAACAATGCCCTGATCTGTGAGTGTGAGTCGCTGAAGCGTCGTCTAGAGAGTTATATGACTGTGATTACTGACTTGGAGAATGATGTGACCAAGACGAAAGCACTGTTGGCGTTTGTGGTTGACCATATAAGAGGTCTGCGTTCCGACTATGGAGATTGGTGCAGAGAGCACGAACAACGAGTGCAGGAGTGTTTAGATGCCGTCACAACAGGGTTGTCCCATGGTGTGGTTGAACACGTGGACCGTGAGTGTGAGACAATGACATGGCCAGAACACTTGGAGTCTACTGTTATGCTTGATAGCTTTGTGCGACTACAAGAGTCTCATGAAGTGACGTCGATGCAGAGAGGACAAGATTGGGATTCGGAAAGTGAGATGAGCAGACTGTGCGACCGGAACCGTGAGCTGTCTGAGGAGCTCTGCAAGTGTCGAGACCTGTGTGATAAGCAGGCATCTGAGATGGTGTTGATGCAAACAGCTCTTCGTCAGGCAGTCGAACAGGCGTCAACTGCCCGAGAGGAACTGGAGGCCTATAGACACGAGAAGGTTTGCGCAATGTCAGATCTGGAGAGTCAACTGTCTGCTTCTCGTGACGAGTGTTCTGCACTACGGGATCAAGTGTGTCGGCTTGAGACATCGATGGAAGAGCATTGCAACACAGTGTTGGCGATAGCCAGTCGAGACTGGGAGTCGCGCGTAAACGAAATTGTGGGAGAACGCGACACAGCCATGAAAGAGTTGTTGGAACTGCGTAGTAGGTTGGATATGGCAGACGATATGGACGCCAGGTTGGCAAAAACAGTGTGCAGAAGTGACATGGGAACTGACGTGCTAGATCGTATGATTGAACGTGATATAGCTTTGTCATCAGGGTTCACTAGTGATACGAGAGAGACTGTGAGCGTGGGCGTTGGTAAAGATGCAGAGGACGACGAGTCGAATTGCATGGTTGTTGACGGTTGGAGCGACTACTCCTCAGAATGCATACACGACGAGCACAAGCCTAGTGTGTCGGTTGGTTCTCCGACTAGACTTGTGAGTGTGGCGACTCAAGCGACAGACAGCGTGTCTTGGTTGGCTACTGACACATTGTCAACTTCAGGATTTACCGATCAGTCGACCGTAGATCAGTCGACCAGGAGTCCAGTGGAGATGACGAGAGAGAAGCTAGTGAGTTCAAGTTTGTGTGAAGATGAGTCGAATGTGGTTGGTCAACTGCGCGAAGAGTTGACGTCTTGTTATGAACAGATAGTGAAGCTGTCTAGATCGGTGGAGGAGAGTGATGCTTCGTTGATGGATGTCCGGCGTTTGTTGACTGTGAAGGAGAGTGAAGTGGCGGATCTGAGAGAGGAGAAGCGTCATTTACGAGACGAAGTGAATGAGTTGAGGGAGACTGTAGAGGCAGAACGACGTGATTTGGACATGATGCGTGCAAATATGGATGTGTTGGAGAGCAAGGAAGAGGTGTCGGCGATGAGCGTGGAGTGTCGTGGACCGAAGGTTGCTGCTGCTGCTGCTGCTGCTGCTGCTGTGGAGGAGGAGTGTGTGCAGACGGAGATTGACGACGAAGTTTTTGACCTGGTGTCGACGTTGCAGCTCGAGGTTGCCCATCTGCGTGAGGAAAATGCGGCGACGTTGGCGGCTCTGGAGCGTTCACAGCTCGAGTTGAGCATGAAACAGACCGAAGTGCAGGAACCGGAGTCACGTATGATGGTGAACGAGACAACTTGTTGGATTCCTTGTGAGACTGTGAGAAAGGCGCCCGATGTGGTTGTCCGTGAGTTGGCAGAGGTTGATGACACAGACAGAGTGGAGGCAGACGTGTTTGCCGGAGTTCCTGACATGCAGCTGGTGGAGACCGTTGCAAGCGACTCAGTGTCAGGCATTGTGCCTGATCGAATGGACAGACAAACTACGGACTTGTGTGTTGAGGGCGTTTCGAACGAGGAAGTGGTCTTGCCCATTCACGCCACTCAGAGTTGGACGAAACCGCCGAGTGAACAAGACAATGACGATCCCGAACTTGCCCTGTTGAATACAGACAGCCTAAGAACGCGATTGAAGGAGGCCATGAGCAGAATCTGCGAACTTGAGAATGCCAAGACAGAGTTGAGTGTGCGTCTGCGTGAGCTGGAAGGCGTTATGATGTGTGAAGATAAGCCGATGGATGTGATGCCTCTTAGTTCTCGTGTGCCTGACCGGTCGATGAAAGTGACGGACGAAGCTGATGCACTGTCGAAGCACAACAAAGAGCTGATGACAGAGGTAGACTTGTTACGAAGTAAGATTTCAGAGCGCGTGACACTGTTGGACGATGTGTGCATGGAGATGGATGAGGTCAGAGGATCACTGGGTTTCTTGTTGAAGCAGGTGAGAGAATTGCGTGCAGCACATGCTGAGGCGAATGCTGACCGCGCCGAAATGGCGAACAGAATGAGTGAGTACGAACGGGTTTCACATCGCCTGTGCGAAACAGTTGGTCGATCCACGTCACCAGTGCAAGACATCGACTATGCACACGAAGGCTCGTCGACTGACCGTTGCACATCAGACGGGTTGCGAGAGGATTTGCAGCGTGCACTGGATACACAATCGTTCGAGCTGGAGGCAGTCACTGAGAAACTGAAAGAATGTGAGTCAATGAACAATGCCCTGATCTGTGAGTGTGAGTCGCTGAAGCGTCGTCTAGAGAGTTATATGACTGTGATTACTGACTTGGAGAATGATGTGACCAAGACGAAAGCACTGTTGGCGTTTGTGGTTGACCATATAAGAGGTCTGCGTTCCGACTATGGAGATTGGTGCAGAGAGCACGAACAACGAGTGCAGGAGTGTTTAGATGCCGTCACAACAGGGTTGTCCCATGGTGTGGTTGAACACGTGGACCGTGAGTGTGAGACAATGACATGGCCAGAACACTTGGAGTCTACTGTTATGCTTGATAGCTTTGTGCGACTACAAGAGTCTCATGAAGTGACGTCGATGCAGAGAGGACAAGATTGGGATTCGGAAAGTGAGATGAGCAGACTGTGCGACCGGAACCGTGAGCTGTCTGAGGAGCTCTGCAAGTGTCGAGACCTGTGTGATAAGCAGGCATCTGAGATGGTGTTGATGCAAACAGCTCTTCGTCAGGCAGTCGAACAGG